TTTTTTTTTCTTTTTTTTTCTTTTTTCCCCTGTAAAATGGAATGAGAATGCTCCACTTTTAGCAGCTGAAGTCTAAAACACCAGCTTCAGATCAAAACACCCTCTGTTCTTTTGCACTGTTTAGTATTGTATTTCTTACATATTTATTATATATGATTATTATTATCTCCCTGTCCAAGTCACACTATGTATTCAAATCTAAAAATAGATTTTTTTTCCCCCTAAACTTGTAGCAGATCAGACCTCTGTGGTCATATTTTTTTTAGCAGATTTATCTCTGTGGGATATATTAATAAAAAAATACTCCAAAAAGTGATAATTTAAGATGAAGAAAATCTTCATCTTCCTGTTGAAGGTCATGGAGGCTTTTTCTCTGTTGAGGAGGCTTCTTCTCTGTTGAAGGTCATGGAGGCATGTTTTCTCACATATTTGAAAGCCTTGTGTGGTATTGTATGAAATTAGGTTGTGATGACCACCTCATCCAGTCCCTATTAAGTGTTTCAACTTCTAGTGCTTTTAAGAGTGWTCGCTCTCTCTGCAACAATTAAATGCATTACAAATTAAGGGCCTGATCCTGAAATCATTGTTGATATGGACAAGCCTGTTCATGCTAGTAGGTTTGTAGATGGGAAGAAAGGCTGAAAGGTCAAAATTTAAAAATCACATGAATGCAGAGATACACAGAAGAGGAGAAGGCAAGACTTACATGCTAGAGTTCAGTGGTGCACTTGGCATACGGTTTGTTCTAAAGATGGTAATACTGAGGTCAATTTGTAGAGACAAATACATGGTTTGCTGGATTAGGACATTAAATAATACCCAAGCATCTTTTTCTAACATAGATGATTAACTGTTCCCTCATCAAAATAGTAATACGTATCTTCTCTCAGTGGGGGTGGCGATGGAAGAAATCCGTGAGTGAGTGATGCAAATAATTTCTGTGATGCAGACACTGTGAAACTGCACTATGGAACCACAAAGTTCAAACTGATGAAACATATGGAGTCATTTTTTATAATTTATGCTTAAACTATTATTCAAAAAATATTCTTCAGTGACTGTTTTSCCCTCGGGTCCATCCTGAATGCGTTGTTAAAAACCTGTAAAGAATATGAGAAACGAGGAAAAGTACATCAAGGACAAAATGCTTAAATCAGAAGTATGATTTGTTTTGGGTTTTCCTCACTACTTTGTCATTTCTCTTCAAAGCTGTTTCTACCTTTTGCTTGAAAGGAGCTCTTTAAATTCTAAGTAAATAGAAAACATCTCAAGCTCAGATTACTCAAATGTTTTGATAACTTTGCCAGAATTTAAATGTGATTAGAAATTGTCAAGATAATTATCAAAGATATCTTTATGTGCTATGTCATTTCAACTATCCTCTATTCTGAGATTAGTAATTAATTCCTTTAATGTCTATTRGGTTGATGGAATATAGATTTGTTTTTTACAAATTATATACTTGGGGCATGCTCCTGTTCCCATTGAAGTTAATGGGAGAATGAGTGAGTCACTGATCTGCTGGGAAAACAGCAACTGCCTGTCTTTAAAGTCCAAAATAAACACTTTCTTTGAAGAAGTTAAAACAGTTACTAGTATAAAATCATTCTTCTGTAGGAAATAACTCTGTTTGAAAAGCACTAATAATAAAAACATTCTTTGATAGATGCTTAATCCTATCAAACCACAGATTTTGCATTTATGTGACAAATGGATTAAAAGTGTAATCCATTAATAATGGATTGTGCATCATAACAAAGAGTTYTTGTTAAACTAAAATATCATTTTCCATTTACAACAGATGTATAACATAGTTATGTTGAAGGCAAATTTCTAGCAAGAATAGCACAGCATATTGTTGAATAGAGGACTGCTCAGCGCATCTGGCAATTTAATCCATTAGGAGTATTGAGTGAATRAACTTCAGGGTTCGATAGTTAATATAATGTCAATGAAACCGTGCATGCTATTTGGTTCAGCATCCAAAAAGACAGTCTGCAAATGGAAATCTTCCATTGTTGATGCTGCAGTTAAATTATAAGACAGMTATTGAAGGCATTGCCCAGCCGTGTATTTCTGTAAGCTACTTGCTGTTAGTTTAGCTAGCTATTATTCAGATAAAGTTGTTAATTTATCAGGTGCATGCGTGTGCATAGATTCTTTAGTCATTTGTATTGATAAACATTTCTTCTTCTTTTTTTTTTTTTTTTTTCCCACCAAAGATTGAACATGAACGTAGTCCATACTGCCAGCCACGAAATCTTTACAGGAATTATGTCAGTGAATTGTTTGTGACTTGGACCATATTTTTAAGACAGCTGGGAAATCCACAAGGTACTTGCTGACAGAGCCCTTAGGCACCGGAATACCTTTTAAAAGGATGCTTTGCAAGCCTGACCCAAAACTTGCTGAAGCCTTTCTGCTGATTTTGCTTCACTGGGGAATAGGCTGTGTTAGAAGAAAGCCACCTTTTGTGTCCTGAGAATAGTCATGTTAGGCACAAGTCATTTTCCTTACCAAGTGAGGATATCTGATACCAAAGCCTGCCTAAATGAGACCAACTGTGTGTGGTAAAGAGGTTAGGTAGGTTTAGGTTGTAGCGTATCTCATACAAAAAGTGCAGGGCACGGGGAGAATAGGGACTAAAAGCAGTGCCACACTAGAAATGGCCTTTTGGCCAGTGGGTAGCAGAGAGGAAAGGGGACTTAGTGCAACTGTGTGCAGTCTCTGATTTTGTCTCTGATCTAAGTAAATGGGATGCAGGCACATGGTGGGGGTAGTGGGAGAGAAGGAAACAAACGTCTAACATTGGAAGAATATCTGCAGTCTGTGTTTCCAGTATTCCTTCACTGCAAAAAAAAAAAAAAAAAAAATAGATTTTACTCAAATCAATCAGCAAATGGCTGACAGTTTTGTTATTATAGTCATCAGCATAGCAATCAAGTTCCTAAAATAAACTTTTTTTCCTATTGCCTGTGTTCAACACACCTATTTTATATATATATATATATATATAAATATATATATATATAATTTAATGGAAGGACCAGCACTGTACAAACATTCATTAAAATGACATTTGGCTTCTATTATGCAGAAAATACCCGCCATGCCTTTTGCTGAGACAAACTTTTGACAAAACATGAGTGGGAGGTGGGAGGAAGAATTTTCAGGAATTGTCTTTAAAAGTTTGCAACTTGCCTCAGGAAAACAAAGTTGGGGGGAAGGGTGAAGATAACAGACTAGAAGCGGATCTTATAAATAGAAGATATAAGAGAAGCCAAAAGGCTCAACATGTTAATCAAGTGTGTAGAGAACAAAATCAATCTCTTTTTTTTTTTTTTTTTTTTTGTCTTTTCAGGTTGCAGTATGCTGACCTCCTACTCACCCTTTTTGAAGGCTCAGTTTTCTTGTTTCTCTGAAACACTTTTGAGGAAGGTAAAAGAGCACAGTTTTTAGATCAGGTGTCTTTTTTCAGGATGAAAAAGACTTTTCAAGGGCAAAGAAATTTTTTATATGCAAATCCTGTAGGGTATGTGATGGTGGAGGGCAAAGAGTGGCATGTAATATATCATAGATGGAACATAGCTGTAATGCAAAAAACAAGATTGTTAACACTGCTAAAATGATTGCACAGTGCTTCCCCATTTTTGTGCCAAATTCTGTGACCCTCCTTCCATGCWTTCTAGTCATTGGTAGTACTTGGCTGTAGGAGGAAGACACCCTAATACTGYAGGAAGCGGCTGAGCCCATGCTACTCTTGACAGGGTCCCCTTTTGCCAGCAAACACCCTGCAAGCCAGTGCTACCAAAGGAGAGATGCAATGCTGCTGAGCTGTGAAGTAACAAGAGCACAGTGTGGTATGATTCAAGCAGAGTTTTCTAATTTCTCAGGCAGACACCTGCTACACTGAGCTCTGGACACTTGTCAAAAACACAGTTTGGAGAAACATGGCTGCCCCGGAATCAGAGTATTGTGCTAGATGGAGAAAGAGGGCACTGATGGGTTTCCTTGCCCTGCGTGGTGGCTCTGGCCAGCTCCGTGTGTTTGCCTGCAGCTGCTCTGTCTGCGAGATCTCCATGCACGCCCTCAAGCCATGCAAGGCACAACTCTCAGAAGGGCTCAGGCTGGACTTGGGAAGTTGCTTCCTGRGTAAGGGCCTAGGCCCAAGGGCCTTTCCACCAGGCTATGCGGATTGATCTTGGCT